CTGCTGCGACCGGAGGGCACGGACCTGGAGCTCGGCCTCCACAAGACTCGCATCCTGGGGGACTTTGAGCTCGAGGGGGTGTGTCAGCTGCCAGACCAGTCCCCTCCCGGAGCCGGAGATGGGGAGCCTGGGTCCGAGGATGCCTCCCCCTGGGGGCCGCCTGGGAGGGGCTCCAGGAAGAGGCTGCTCTCAGCTGAGGACGCCGAGTGTGAAGCCTCCCCTCTGCTGTTCCACGGGAAGACGCCCGCCTCGCAGGGCCAGGACGCCCCGGGTAAGTCGTGGGAGGGCCCACACGTGGGGTGCCCTGGGGTGAGCACAGGGCTGCCGGGCAGCTGCGTTTTGCAGGAGGCATAGGGACAGTGGCGTGCGCGGTGCCCACCCAGGGAACCCACAGTCCTACCAAATACTTGAGGTTCCTGAAAGCGGTGGCAGGCGTGGGCGCACGGGGCAGTCCCTGGAGGCTGAGCCGTTCCTCCCGTGTCTGTGCGGCTGTGACAGGGCCGCCCGCAGCCTCCGCAAAGCACTGTGAGCCTGTGCTGCAGGTTAGACGATTCCTCTACGATGGTCAGGGGAGCAGGAGGGCCCGTCCGTGTCCCTCCCCTCAAGGCCACGACAGCCTACGAACCCCCGCAGACCTGAGACAAAGCGGAGCCGGTGCAGGAGGGGCGGCAGGGACTCGGAGTGGGGGAGGCCCGAGAAGCCTCGTGGCCAGGCCCTGCCTCTGCCGCGCCCTCAGCTGCCCGTCTGCCTGGCTCTAGATGAGGACTTGGATGTGTTTCCCGCCACGGAGGACTCCCCATTCAGCCGAGCCTTTTCCAGGACCCGCCCCGTCAGCAGGACGTACTCGCGGAAGAAGCTGATCAGCTAAAAGGGGGGCCGGCAGGGCCTCTAACCAGACACTACAGAGCTGCCCGGGCCCCTTGCTACGCACGCGCCACTGCTCCCTGGGCGCCGGAACGCTGTCTGCCCGTGGGCACCAAGGGGCTTGGTCCCAGCCTCCACCTCCCAGGCCCTGGGCTGTCCCCGAGGCTGCCTGGGGGTCCGGAACCAGACGGGCCCTGTCAGGTCAGGAGCCCATTCCAGGCCCCCCCAGCCCCGCGACCCGCGGCCTCCCTTGTGAAGGGGGAGGAAGGACCTCACGACGGGCCGGGGCTTCCCTTCCCTCTGACAATAAAGTTACCTCTGTACTTGGTGTGGCGTCTGTGAATGTTCCCGCCGGCGCCTCACTGACCTGCCCTGAGCTTCCCGGGGCAGCCACGCTGGGGTCTGCCCCAGAGCCGTCCCGGCACAGGCCTCACACCACTGGGGAGACGCACCGCACCGCGTCTTGGGCCCGCGGAGTCACAGCGTCCGCATCTGACTCCCTTCGAGCTGCTGTGCTCCCAGGTCTGCTTCCTACTGCTGTCCATCACGCTCCGCGGGAAACCCCGGGTTCTCAAGCGGTTGCTCTCATTTATTATAAAATGGTTTCACAAAAGTCTACAAAACGTTCACCCATTTTCCCAGGTCCATGTGCCCATCTAGACACGGGCCGTCCTGTGGCCCGTGCAGGTCCCAAGCCCAGAACACCCTGAACGGGCCAGAGGTGGCCGTGGGCCCGGCACTTGGAGGGAGGGGGTGGCGGGATCCGCTTTAGAGGAACTGAGGCCAGTTCACGCGGCTGGTGGTCATGGTGCGGCGGACGCACACGGCACCGTACCTGTCAGGCTCGGCCCCCAACGAGGCGGGACTACAGCGGGTGCCTCCGCACATCGATGATGCC